TGTGTACCCTCAATAGTGACCCCACTTAGATATGGTTCTCATATAAAGAAAAATAGTGTTTCATAATAGCAAACAAATAGAACAACCTGCCATCATGTGCGTGTGCCATACAAACCTCTCCAAGCCAAAGACAGCGGCCATGGTACTGTGCTTCCCTGCTGAAGTTAAGAGGCACCTTTCAAATTCCCAGGCCATTTTGTGGCATTCTATTTAATTTTATCATGCTGCTGCTAGTGTCCTGTTGAGCTTTTGTTGTGTGCCAATAAGGCTAAGGGGAGCTAAGGGAAAGCAGAATGAGACACAAAGAGAAAAAAAGGTAAAATTAGCTGAAGCCCATAATTGGACCCTGCTTGGCCTTGAGGAAGGCACAATACATGTTAATTAAGCAGACTAATAGGTTGCTTGCTGGAGGGGCTATTCTAGACAGCAGGAACAAAGTTTAAAACAGGTAAGAACTTTTTTTTCTTTCCTGGACTGAGGTTGGTTGAGCCATTCCTCGGAATAATTAGATAAATTTTATCCTTGAGTAGAGATGGGGAATAGGAAAAGAAGTTTTCTTTGGATGTTAGATGTTATTAAAAATCTGTTGGGCTAAGAAACTTTTTTAGTTCATAAGAACTTTTCGAGAAATGCCCAATGACTGCTCTATTAGTTGAACTGTACAATGAACATATTTGTACCTTTCAAACAAGTATAATGTTCTGATCCAATTTTAGGCAGAAGTTTCATTCCCCCAATGTTTATTATTATTACGGCAGGATTGAAATGAAGAAAATGTTTCAGGTTAAATAATTTTTCCAAAGTTCTGAGCAACACCTATATCAGGAATAGAAATCTTTGTTGGAAAATGTTGACTTGGACATTTAAAAAGCCTGTACTAATGAGTGGGGTCAAATGCATGGGGTAGCTGGCTTAGAACAGAGACAGGGCAGTTGCAGGGTCAGACATCCTAATGCCAGTCAGTCCACTCAGAAATACACTCAAGTCTGCCAAAAAGAGTAAGCAAACATACATAATAAGCTCCATGCAAACCCATACATAATAAACTCCATACACATGACTGATAACAGATTTGAGCTATCACCTTCCTTTAAAATTAGTAAAATACACACCTATGCCTACAAAACCCATGTAGTGAATTATCAAAAAAAATGCTGTAAGTAGATTTTTGAGCACTATAGAATATGAGTTAGAGTCATACAAGTATTGCTGCTTATGACTTTGCAATATCTGCCTGATGGCATGTTATTTTTGCAAACAAATAAACAGATAGTAAGCTGCATCTTTATTACACAAAATCTGAAGAATTTATGCCTCAAACACTGTCTTATGAAGTTGTGAGAGTTGTACATGGGAATGAAATTGTCATCTCAAAAGTTCCTTCTCTTCAACCCCCAATAATGACCTCCTACTCTTATAAACCTATAATAAGTTTTATAGAGCAGATTTAGGTGAGAATATATTATTCAAAATAATTATATATTCAATACTAAAAATATCCCATGGTCAATGTCCTATTTCTTAACTTGAGTGCCAGTTACATGAGTGTATTCACTTTATAAAAATTCATCAGGGTCAGGCACAGTGGCTCACACTTGTAGTCCCAGAGTTTTGGGAGGCTAAGGTGGGAGGGTTGTTTGAGGCTAGGAGTTCAAGATCAGTGTGGGCAACATGGTGAGACCCCATCTCTACAAAGCAAACAAAAAAATTAGCCAGGCATGGTAGAACAGGCCTATAGTCCCAGCTACTTGGGAGGCTAAGGTGGGAGAATCACTTGAGCTCAGGAGGTCAAGGCTGCTGTGAGCTACAATCACACCAGTGCACTCCAGCCTGGGTGACAGAGTAAGACCCTGTCTTTAAAAAAAAAAAAAAAAAAAGTCATCAAGCACTACACAATTTTCTGAATGTTAGACGTCAACAAAAAGTTTTTTTAAAAAAAATCTTTTCTCGTTTCTGCACTGCTGATCTCAGATGAATTATACACAGTTATGTGTTGCTTTAGAAACAACACATTTATTCCTATCAATGTGAAGGTTAAAAAAAGTTTTGTAAAGTAATCATGTTGTGAAAGTGCATCAAATAAGCTCATTATTTAAATGAAAGATGTGAATTATAGCTCTGACTTGGCCACTAAGTAGTAGATGAATTTGAGTCTATGAGCCTCAATTTTTTCTCAATTAAAAAGGACTGGGTGAGCAACAGACAAGTGTCTCTTCCAGCTTCAATATATGTATTAGGTTGGTACAAAAGTAATCGCAGTTTTGCAATTACTTTTCTTGTTTGTTTTCTTGTTTGTTGGTTTTTGTTTTGTTTTGTTTTGTTTTTGAGGACTCTCACTCTGTCGCCCAGGCTGGAGTGCAGTGGCTTGATCTCTCAGCTCAATGCAACCTCCACCTCCCAGGTTCAAGTGATTCTCTTGCCTCAGCCTTCTGAGTAGGTGGGATTATAGGCGTCTGCCACCATGCCTGGCTAATTTTTGTATTTTTAGTAGAGACAGAGTTTCTCCATGTTAGCCATGCTGGTCTCAAACTCCTGACCTCAACTGATATGCCTGCCTTGGCCTCCCAAAGTGCTGGGATTATAGGCATGAGCCACCACACCCAGCCTTGCAATTACTTTTCATGGCAAAAACTGCAATTATTTTGCACCAACCTAATTTTAGGTAGTAGGTGAAATGACAAATGATAATCCTTTGGTGAATCTTTCTGTGAAACAACAAGCCACTTCTTGGTTTATCTTAAGAGTTTAAGGGGGAAGAGGGGTAGCTGGAGTGAGTAAAATTCTGACTGAGTGATAACCTTGACTCATATGACTAGGCCCTGTTAACCACAAAAGAGCCTTGTTCTAGTACATAATTCTGTAGTCCCTCTAAAAAGGAGAAGCTGTCAAATTATTTCCTCCACTAAAGTCAGGATTCAGTAAGACTAGCATTAACCTTTTCCTGTCAAAAGAATTGCACAGGATTTTCATGGATCTAAGTTTAGTCAAAGGATTACCTATTCCCCAAACATGTACTGAGCTCCTACTGAATACCAAGCTTCCCAGTAGATATTGGGGATAAAATGGCAAGAGGGACAGACAATGTCCTCCCCTAGGGACCTCTGAGGCTTTTGGAGGATACAGACAAGTAAACAAGCAGTAACAGGGGTGTTAAACTGTACATGCTGTAAAGAGAGAAACAAAAGGCACAGAAGGGGCACCTACCTGGCCAGGAAAATTTTCTGGAGTGAGTGATGTCTAAATAATGGGTAAGAGTTAGCCACATGACTATGTGTACCTCAATCCCAGCAGGCACTGCAGCCTAGAGCAGGCTCGGGAGTCAGGCTACTTAGCTTCAACGCCCTGTACTACACTTAATAGCTGTGTGAGCCTGGGCAGGGCTCTTAAGCTCGCTAAGCCTCTGTTTCCTTATTTGTGAAACGGGAATAATTTCAGTGCTTATGGGTTGTTGTAAAGATTCAATGAAAGAATCCATGCAAGCCCTCCTTAGCACAGAGCATAACCACTATTACTGTCATTACTGACAGTGAGACAGATGTGAGAAGACAGGTAATATTCCAGGCAGAAGGCCTGTGCATAGACAAGCCCAGAGGGGACAAAGAATATGGCCATTTGGCATCCTGAAAGTGATCAGTCCAAATGAAGAGTGGAAGGAAGTGGTGTGATGAGGCTGGAGTGGAAGGTGGAAGGCAGGTACCAGAGGGCAAAAGGCCCTCTATTCTGTGTGAAGGGGCTTAGAGTTCATCCTGAATAAATGAGGATCACTGAAGTCTTCTCAAAGGAGAGGCTTATGATCCACATTTATGAGTGGGGGAGAAGTGTGCTGCCCTCGTAAAAAGTCTATTTATTTTACCCTAAAGCATGAAGACACTGCATCCACTAGCTAATTTCCTCTATAGAGTATAAGGTTCTGTTGGTCACTAACATCCAGGGATTCCCTTCTTTTGTGCACTCAAAATGTTGGATGCTCAAATAACTGCAGTTAATTCAGGAGAGACATTTCAAAAATAACGTAATTCAGCCTCAGAGACCCAGTTCAGAAAATTAACATACTATATCTTTTCATGAGCCATCAGCTGCAATATACAGCAGGCCTCTCTTGAGTCATTAAACTTGCTCTATTAGATTACATAAAATCCCAGACAACTTACCCTACTCTGGCTGGATTTTTGTAGAATGCAGGTCTTTTTTTTTCTAACAGAGGAAAAGCAAGCATGAACCATAGGCACAGAGCTTTGTGTAATATGGGATGCAAGACACACACTTCTGCACTTTCTACTTCTTTAAACCTGACCTCTAAGGGAAACTTTAATCAGAACAAATCAAGGCTTCTTGAGATGAATAAGTATTAGAGTGAAGTCGATATAGGATGGATGTGAGCACTGACATGATTCAACACTTATAAATGATCTGGAAGAACAAGCAAGCAATAAATCTCTAATGCAGTCAACCCTAGGCGCTTCTGGATAGTTTAATGCCAAGGCAGCATGCACCATTCAGAGCAGGAGCAGACAGGAGAAGGGCAGGTGTGATGTAAGTGTATTTGGAAGAGAACAGTCTACATCTCATTATAAATGAACTACCAGTTACAACCCAAAAACAACACCTGGAATTATGGTGTGGTCCCTGTTATTCTATTAAAGCCAGAAGAATTAGAGTTTCATCGTGACAGTCACTAAAAGCAAAAGAGGAAGCAAACCACCATTCTTCAGCCCTCTTAACCAAAATGAAGGCACACTCACTCCTGAAATGCCATGTGGTTTTATGGCCATGCACAAAGAAACAGAAAGCAGAACTTGCTGGCACTTTCGCACAACTCCTGTTTGTCCACCAGACTCGCTATAGTATTTTGCACTCAACAATGAGACTTAAATATCAGTAATGAATACTAGTTTGTTCATGCATTTAATATTTACTGCAAACCAGCTAAATGCAAGGCGCCATCTTAATGACTGGTAGCAATATTAAGAAGGGTAAAATATGTACACTCACCCCAAGTGGCTTATTGTCTGGTAGATGTGATGGGACTTGGACATTATAACACAGGGCACAAAGTAATAAAAAGCTGCAATAGAGAAGCAGATAAAGTGTTACAGGACCATCCTAAACATATTTAAAGGATATTATTATATCAATAAATCATATATATATGGACTATTTTTATTAAGCACATTTGTTTTAAAGCTTGACCTGGACAGCGATGATCATTGTGATTTTACTAACTGACAATTCCATTAAAGCCCAGAGCCAGCAGCTGATAGTGACTAGCAGGTCACAGTGGCAAGAGGAAGATGTGAAGTTTTTGAATGGGGCTGCACTCCAAGGCTGCTAACAGTAGTGGATATTAAGACAATTGACTTTTTTCTAATGGAGGAAGGTGGAAGGGAGAGTTCATGCAGCTTCCCAGTGAGATCCACCATTTTTTCTCATGCCTATGCCTACAGAGCACTTGGTTTACCCTGCAACTACTGCAAGGCCCAAAAGCCCTGCCCTAAAATACTCTTTAGATGAGGTGAATAAAAATTCCCCACAATCTCAGGATGAAGTAGTTGACATCCTGTCTCCTCCCAAGTCAGCTTAGAGAAGTCATTTACTATATTAATACCAACAACACTGACTTCCCCTTCCCCATACCACTCCAGAAGGTACACATTGGATTTATGTAGGAGATTAATTTTGTTTGTAAAAATATTAGTTCTTCCTAACTCTCATAATCAGAGTTCAAGGGAGAAATCAATTATACTGTAGGAAGGTTTGAGAGATAAATGTCTTTGGGAGCATGAAATCTTCAAACCCTCTAAATTTTCATATGTCTAAGCCAAGGAAACCAGAAAACAGAGTTTTGATTTTGCTGCTCAAGATGCAAGCCCTCTTACCACTTTTCTTTTCTTTTCTTTTTCTTTTTTTTTTTTTTTTTTTTTTTTTTTTTGAGACAAGATCTCACTCTGTTACCTAGGCTGGAGTGCAGCAGCTCAGTCACAGTTCACTGCAGCCTCAAACTCCAGGTTCAAGTGATCCTCTCACTTCAGCTTTCCATGTAGCTGGGACCACAGGCACTCACCACCATGCCTAGCTAATTTTTTATGTTTTAATTTTTTCTCTAGAGACAGGGTCTCTCTGTGTTGCCCAGGCTGGTCTTGAACTACTAGGCTCAAGTGATTCTCCCACCTCAGCCTCCCGAGTAGCTGTGACTACAGGCATGTGCCACCCCAAGAAGCTACTTTTTGTGTTTTTTGTAGAGACTGGGTCTTGCTATGTTGCCCAGGCTAGTCTTGAACTCCTGAACTCAAGCCATCTGCCCACTTTAGCCTCCCAAATTGCTAAGATTACAAGTATAAGCCACCATGCCCAGCCAGCTCTTTTACTCTTTTATGTATGCTCTGACACGAAAAACAAGATTATGTTGCTAGCTACCTGCGCAGTTATCGATATCCACCTCTCAATGAAACCTTTTTAATTAATGCAAGCAAGAGACAGGCTTGCCCCATTCTCCATCATTTCCACCATTGCATTTGCTTTTGCCTCTGCGTGTGTTACTGATAGGAAAGACATATTTATACGGCTGTCTCTCAGTTAATAGAACGCTTTTAACTAGGAATAGAGTTCCTAAATGTAATGCAATCACATTTCAGAATAGTGCAAACTTCTTAAGTTCATACCTTTAAATAATATAAAACTTTTCAAGTATACAACATTGTTTTAAATGTTAGCAATGAAATCAGTGACGAAGTGTCTATCTGCTAGGTTTCTAATGTACTAAGGTGTATTGTTAGATGCTGTATAAGTTTTTTTTAAGTTGTATAGATCCTATTTTTAAGAAGCTTATAATCTAGTTGGGAAGATAGGTTTTAGAATATACACAAATTAAGTGTAAGAATTAAATATTAGAACAGTACCAAGATGTCTACTAAGTCCAGAGAGTTTAAGGGATACAAAATACTAAGCGTAAACATTAGACTTTATTTCAAAAGAACTTAGTGTTGTTGGAAAATCACCAAGGCTTTGGAAATTTCTACCTTTCAGCTAGAATCACTGTGATACAGGGTAGAGTTGATGGCACTAATGGCAAGAGTTTCAGTTACTGTGTTATGTTTTTGGTATTTTTAATTTTGCGCATTATTCTAAGCATAGTATGACATTTAAAAATATTGTAAATATTCTTCCTTATCCACACCCCAAAAGGGTTTCAACTAATTAATTAAAGAGTTTCAACTCATTAACGAATATCTTTATTCTTCAAATGTATTTCATCTGGTTTCTTTTATTTTAAGGATAGTTGAATTATTACCTTCTCTGGTTTCTCTGAAATTTATAGTAGGAGCTAAAGAATCACAAACACATTCTGTACCTAATAAATGAATAAAGATGTTGTTTGGGAATGGGTGCTTTAAGTAACAACTGAACTTGTAACTTCTGTTCAAACAGAATAGAAATCTTAATTGCTAACCAAATTAACTCTTGAGTTTTAAAATGTCATAGTTCGGGATTCTTAGTTCTCTCTTTCCCTTTATCTCTAATATACAAAGAGCCCAAAAAGGTAGAACACTTAGAAAAGACAAAAATCAAAACTGAATATTTGGATTCAAATTGCAGAGGAAGAAAGGGAGTATTTTAGAAAATCGCAAGGGATATGCCTGCTGTTACTGCTCTAAATCAGTTCGAGCACACACTGCATTTTAAGTAAGTTGTTTGCCTGGTTTGTGTTTCTTTAAATATAAATAAACATAAAAATATAATCTTAAATGCACAGTGAGAACCCAGATAATTGCTTTTAGTTTTATAATTGGGAATCAACTGTGACTCAAAACGGAGAATCTGAAAGCTACTTCTGGAGGTGACACTATATGCATTCAAAATGATGTGGGTGAAGGACTTCCTGAGTGAAGCAACAGAGCACCTGTGGTCACTCCAGCCATCTTTCCAAGCTTTTGTTTCATCCTTTGAGAGCTTCTAGAAACAAGGATTAAGATGTTCATACGTTTAGAAAATGCATGATCAATTCTTTTGTTGCTAAATATAAAACCAAATTGTCCTCAAACTAGCCAACTTCACACTTACATACACAAATTGTAACATCATAGTTTAAAGCCTCTAAGCCTAATTACTGTGCCCATATGAAGATTATAATGCACCCCATTCTTGATTATTCAAAGACTAATTATCTAGGCCAGGCACTTAAGCTTGTCCTTATTCCCTTGGTTTTCTGCCATTTGGTTATTTTAAGGTTCACTGGCCTCTTCACATTCAGGGCAGAGGAAATAAAAAAAGATGAAACTCAAATCAGTAAAATTTAACTTCCCACATAATCTGCTAAAACTTAAGGGACAGAGAAGGCAGATGAAATGAATAGTTAACATGAAGATAGAAGTTCTCAATGTATTTGATTTATTCACAGTGTTTCTCTCTCTCTCTCTCTCTCTCTCTCTCTCTCTCTCTCTCTCTCTCTCTCTCCAGTAATAAGCTGACCAGATGTCTTGAGTTAAGCACAGGTAAAATAGAACTTGATGTTGACTTTTTGACCTTCCTATTTTTTCTCTTGGTTGATTAATTATGTCTCTCAGCTCTTCCTCCCTTTGTCCTTCCTTCTCCCTTTCCTTTCTCACAGTCAGCAGGAGTTACATTCATTCACTAAATGACAGTCCTCTTATTTTTGCCTTTGAAGGGGAATCCCTGGGATTTCCAGGCATTTTCTATCACACTTTAGTAGCTTTGCTAAGCTCAACCCCAACACTATATGCTTATGTGCTACCCCTAGTAAAGAACTGGGTACAGCCCTGTGAACCCTCCTTAGGCTGCAAGTTTTATCCTCTCTTTAACCCTCTGTCTGAAATCTTGTCACATTAGCTATTTATATAGATACGAAGATGACCCAGCTCTCTCTAACCCCACTCCCACCGTGTTCCTCTGTACATGACAAAATTCTTAGCCAATAGAATATAAATCAAAGCATTACTTTTTTCAGTTCTGCCTCCCACTCCATGGGTTGTTCATCAGCCAAAGCCACAACAGTTTCCTGCAGCTCAAATTGTTAAAAATTCTATCAAAAGCTCAGACCATAGAAAGGAAAGATCCCCAGGGAACAGTATGTCTATGAATAGGATCCCCCAAACTCATAGGATTCATCTTCCCTTCGCTCTGTGGGGGCACTAAAACCCCTGTTAAGCCTGTAATTTTGTGCCCGGTATTAGAAACCACAGGATCCTAGATGCTGCCCTAAACCTGTAGGGTAGTGACCAGCTGTTCTCCCCAACTCCCCACCTAAGCCTGAAAAGTTCATCATAGTTCCGGGATAATGAAGGAAGAGTAGAAGAATCCTAGTTACAGGTCACAGGCTTATGTTCAATTACAGTCTTTTCTAGTCTGATCTATGTGATGTGATGTTTTATGTTACATTGCAACTCACGTATCTATAGGTCTATATCTTTCTCTATATCCAACAGACACTAAGTGTTTCATGTGCACCATCTCTAATCATCACAGCAACCCTGCATTAGGTACTATTAATATCTATCAGACATTAGAAACTGAGGATAACCTTGCCAGGAAATAGCAGAGTTGGATTCAAACTCAGACTCTCTGACTCCAAAGTCCATGCTCCTTCTACTACATTATTTCACCACCCTAGCCCTCGCCTATTTATCAGTCTTAAATCTCAAGCTGCCACCAACTGAATCTTGTTATGAGCTAGTCTGTAAAGAAGCCTGATCTGTGCTCTTAGTAGAGCCTCATTCCTGTGTAACTGGCCAGGCCTTTCACTTAAGACTACTGTAACTTCATCCCGGCCCTGCCAGGGAATTTATAGCCCCTGCCCAGGATTCCCCAATAAAGGCCAGTACCCCAATTAACACTCTTTTCCAGGTGGCCTTTTTACAAAATCTACCATGAAAAGCAAGGAGGGTAAAAATAAAATTGTATTAACTACAGAAATGTAAATGGTATACGGGACCATAGATTACTAAGAAATAGAAATAAGGATTGAGATAATCTGGAAAGTTGACATCAATAATAAGAGGTCAGTGAATAATAAAATATAGCAACAATTGACACAGAAATTAAAACCAGTAA